CCCCCCGCTCCCAGCCTGAGGTCCCCTCATCCCTGCCTCAGGGAGCAACGTGGGTCCGCTGTGCCCTGGCCCTGTGCAAGGAGGTCACTTCGGAGGGTGTCAGGCTCTGCCCCTTTCCTTCCTTCCCTCTCCTTCTATGGCATCACCAGCTGCCCAAGTCCCTGGCCCTCAGCTTGCCAATCCCTTCCAAGCCATCATTCCTGAAGGACTCCCTCCCCCATGCCCCCCACCAGCATCACCGGCACCCAGCCCCCTTCTTGGCAGGTAAAGACTGGGCGAGGAGAAAGACCATTTATTTCTCCGCCCACAGTGGGACTGGTAGGTTTTCAAAAGAGCCATCAGCTGGCTTCCCTTTAAATCTTGGCTGACTTCCACCTGGGCAGCCAATCAACAGAGGCGGAGCTGGTGAGTTGCCTAGGCAACAGGCCTCTGGTTGGCTGGAGACGGTCAGCCGCCCACTCCCCACCCCCCAGGAGAGGGGAGTTAACTCTCTGCTGTCAGCTCTCCTGTTCCCAAGTACAGGCCTGGAGGAGGCCTCCTCCTCTTGGTCCTGAAGCCTTCACAGAGTCGGGAGCAGTTTGGTGGACAAGATGGGGTGGGATGAAGAAAAGTGCCTTTATCTGGGATAGATGTAAGGCCGGCAGATCAGACGGGGAGGAAACGGGGGGCAGGGTCCCAGAAGGACAAAGACCGACACACGCACAAAACAAGAACCTCTCTGCTGGCTCCAGTCCACCTATGTAAAGCTAATCTGGGGGTTTTGCCCCTCAGGCCCACAGTGTCCAGTGGCTGGGGAGCAGAGATGACACGGGAGGCGAGGGGTGACAGGGCTTCCTCCGTCCCTCAGGGGTCCATAGGCCTGTCTGAGTCAGGAGAGCAAACCAGTGTGGGCAGCTGCCCCAGGAACACAGGTGGGACCACGTGGGGTGTCATGGGGGGGTCTTTTCTCTTCTCCCCTGGTGTGGGGGGGAAGGTAGAGGCACGTGGGTGTGCGTGCATGTGTTCAAAGGACACGTGTTTGTGAGTGAGGGGTGGATGCTGGATGCTGTCTTTTTGGTAGGGATGTTTCTGTGGTTTCCAGCCCTCTCTCTCTTCTCTCTCTCTCTCTCTCTCTCTCTCTCTCTGGCCCTCTCTGGAAGCTTCAGGTCGGAGCCAGCTGGCCTGGTATGTGGCCATCACCCCGACTGCCACCAGCCAGGTCCCCTGAACAATTCCGGCTTTCGAAGGCTCCTCCCAGTGCGGGACCTGGGTGGCCGGGGCACACCTGCTGGAGATGCAGGGGCGAAGCGGGAGGGAAGGTGAGCAGCCCGGGCCTCAGGCCTTGGCCGAAGCCTCAGATACGCCCTGGGCGGTGAGCTCGGCCAGCACGTTGTCCAGGTAGCTGGCATCCGGGTAGCCGTGGCCCGTGAGGTTGGACCCGAACTCGGTCTTGTGGTGGATCTCGTTCCACACCACGGTGTCTGACTCTCCGGTGGTGCTGGACGTGCCGATGGTGAAGATGAGCCTGCGCTCCCAGGCTGTGATCAGCAGTCTCAGCACCTGTGGGGGGCCGGGGCGGGCACCAGTCACCTGGGGCTCCGACTGCCACCCTGCCTCCTGAGACTCCATGTCTGCTAAGCCCTGCCGGCCTGGTGGCCCTAGCTTGTATTTGCATTGGACCCTGGGCTGCATTCAACAGCCACTCAGTGAACTCCTCCCTACCCCAAAGTTTCTATGAAAATCTTAATTTCTGGCTTCTTTTGAAAACACACAAAAAATAACTGGGTGCTGGTGGCACACAGATGTCATCCTAGGTACTCAGGAGGCTGAGACCTAAAGATGGTGGTTCAAAGCCACCCAGGAAAGAAGCTTCCTGAGACTCTTATCTCCATCCAAGTAACCAGCAAAAAGTCAGAAGTAGAGCTGTGGCTCAAGTGATATAGTGCTAGGTTTGACCACAAAAGTTAAGGGACAGAGTCCAGGCTCTGAGTTCAAGCCCCAGGACTGGCACACACGTACAGAAAAAGTAAAGTCAGAGGACCTCGGGCATGGTAGTGGATGAAGGAAGGGCTTGGACTGCTTGGGTTCAAATCCCAGCTCTACCACTTCATGTCTGTTTGATTGCAGGCAAACGACCTGCCCTCCCTGAAACTTCGCATCTCTTTCTCTAAAATGGGGTGAAGACCTGACCTCAACAGGCTGCTGAGATGGGGGTGTGTATGAAGGAGGTGGGCAGAGCTGTTCAGGTGCTAGTTTGGGGGCCTGCAGGGACTGGGGGCCAGGGGGGGCAGACCCACCTTCCGGCCCTTCTCGTTGTTGGGCAGATAGCAGTGGCGTGGGAAGCCTCTGGCGGTGAACTTCTTTCCCGGGTTGGGGTGCTCAGGTCCCTGCAGGAGGCACGGTAGCTTAGACCACAGACACATGGCTGGGGGGTGGGGGTGGGGGAGGGCCTCGGGCAGGGCCTGGGGGCTGCGGGGTGGGTGGGCCTCACCTGGATGCCCGTGGGGATGTCGTAGACGATGCGGATGGTCTGTGTGTCCGCGAAGCCAGGTAGCGAGTGCGGGATGAGGTGGAACTCCATCTTCCCGGGGGGCTGGGTCCCCGTTTTCTCCCCATAGATGGCCTTGCAGGTAGGGCATTGCAGGCTGCCGTCCTGGGGCAGGGAGGCCGGAGGTGAGCCCCACTGGGGTGCAGGGGGGTTCCCACCCCCCACGGGGCCTGGCCCACCTTATTTCCATTGGAGTACATGGCCACGAGGCACAGCAGGTGGTACATGTGGCCGCAGCGGCCCAGGCGGCCCACGAGCTCCGGCCGCACCCCCTTGTGCCGCAGCACGCCCTCATAGCCCGATGCCGTGACCAGCCGCTCCATGCAGATGGTGCAGTCCTGGAGGGGCACCGAGGGAAATTGAGGGCTGGGGAGGCAGGAGCCTCAGAGGTGGGGCTGGCAGCACGTACATGTACCACACACACACACACACACACACCCCACAAGCCCTGCCTGTAACACCCATCTGGCAAATGGAGAGAACACAGCTTTCATCTGTTAAATTCAGATCCATCAGCCAGGCCCCTGTCCGGTTGGATTAAAGGATTAACCACCCCAAAATGGAAACTTCAAAACATTTTGTGGAGATGTGTGTGTGTGTGTGTGTGTTGGGGGGGAGTGACCGGAAACTGTCAGCCATCTGAAGTGGATATGAGATTCAGGGAGGCCAGCGGTGTCTGTCAGGGCCCCTGGGAGGCAGGGAAGGCTGGAAGGCCAGGCCCGGGGGAGCTGCCCAGGGTGGAGTGCAGGCCGGGTTCTCTCCAGGCTGCCCAGGCCCATCCTCCCCTGCTGCTCACCTCATCCGGCGGGTTTTTCACCTTCTGCATGTATCTTCTGACCACATCCTCGGGGTTCTTACCTGCAGGGACACGGGCGGTGGGGGTTGGAGGGCGTCCACCCAGCGTCCACCCTGGAGGGCTTGGCTGTGGATGGGCCAGGGTGGAGTTGGCAGAGCCCAGGCCAGGGTGGCAGGAGGGTGGGTAGGTGGGCTCAGAGACAAGGGGGCAGGGGCAGGAGGGGCCGGGGGCTTACTTTTCTTGAGGTGCTTCTTTTTGGTCTTGCGGCACACGCCGGGCACGCCGGGCACGGGCTTCACGTCGCTCTTGCTCACGGGGGGCGGGTGCAGGACGGGTTTGGGGGCGCGGGTGAGGCACACGGGCAGCCCCGCGGCGCACAGCAGGATCCCGGTCATGCCTGGGGCAGGGTGGACAGCAAGGCCACGCCCACCGCAGCGGTCAGGGGCGGGACGACACTGCAGGCCACGCCCCCATGGCGATCCTGAGCCACGCCCACCACACGGATTCTCTCCCGCCATTGGTGGATTGAAGGGATCGGGTCCTGGGCCGCATGCTCTGTGATCCTTTGTCAGGATAGTGGGCGGGGCTCCCCAGACTCCACCCACCTGGCTATGGGTGGGTGGGATACACCCCCCACAGGCCCCGCCCTTGCTTCCCACCCTGGCCGGCCTCACCTGCTAGGGCCGGGTGCACAGGTCCAGTACCATTCAGGTTCTTCACGGGGAGCGCGGGGACCCTGCCGGGATAAGATGAGGCCACAGCTGGACTTGAACTCCATCAGGGAGGAACCCTAGTTTTCCTTCTGTCTCTGGCTTCTTCGCACCTGCCTGCCATGCAGGAAACCCACCCGGCTACGGCCCGGGACAGAGGGCAGGGTCAGCACCGCCTCCTCCCCAGGGCCAGGGGCTGGGCCTCCAGCTCTCCCTTTATTGGTCACAATGCAATTATTAGTGACTTCCGTCTCTCAAAGTTAATGAAGAATAAAGGATGAATCTGGAGCCCCTGTCTGTCCCCTCTCAGGGATTCAACGTAACAGCACAAGAGAGCCTCCAATAAGCCCTGCACGAGGACATATAGTTAGCAATACAACAATCTCAGTTTCCAAAGGCTTTTTTGAGCGGGGGAGAGGGGAGGGGGGAGACAGTCTCATTATGTCAGCCAGGCTGTCCTGGAACTCATGATCCTCCTGCAGGCTTGGATTATAAGTGTGTGCTATCATGCTAGGCTTCCAAAGACATGTGGTCCTAGGCAGCCTATCTAGAGATGGAGGGCACATATACCACCATCCCCTGGTTCCTACCCTGGCAGGCATCACTAACCCATCACAGCTCTCCAGGCAGACTCAATCAATCAGGAAAGCTTGATACCTCGGTTCTATAGCTGCCCAAAGTCTAGTCCAATTGAGGCCACTGTTCTTACTGGGACTGGGCAGGGGACCCCAAGAAGAGCCCATTTGAGATCATTTCTGGAATCCTGTAAAACCCAGAGCTCTGCCTTACAAAAGTCAGTTTGGCACCCAAGATGGAGGTTATAGCAGTCTGCCCATGGGCTGTCTTTCATTCATCCACTAGTGAACTGCTGATGTGGGGTGGCCCTGAACTGGGCCCTAGCCTCCCACAGTCTGCAGGCTGTCCTCGAGAACTTCGGGTAGCCAAGTTCCCATGAGGCTGAGCGTGGGAGCCACGGGGGGGGGGCGGCTTTTTGATGTGGGACACACAGCTTCCTCTGCTCAGTGAGAACTCTCTCTATCGCCTGGGGGCCTCCACCCTGGCCAGCCCTGCCTTCCCAGGCCCAGTCTGAGGAATCCTTTGAGTTCCTCCTGCATAGAGCAGAAGCCAGGTCTGGCTTCCTGAGGGCAGCCACGCAGTTTGGGGTCCCCCCTCTTCCTGGCTCCAGCACCCACATTCTGGGGGGCCTTGGTTCTTCTTGTGCTGACAGTGTCCCTTGAGAAACAGTTGAAGAGGGGTGATTGGAATTTGGGGTTCAGATTGCTCCAGGGGCCTTCGTTCTCAGCTTTTGCACTCTCCTGGTCCCCCAGCCGGCTCTCTCTGCCTGAGCAGGGGTGGGGGGGTAGGGGGGATAGGCCAGCGGTTCCCACGCTTGCCAGCCAGCAGCAGCCACGTGGTACAGACCAGACTGTGAGGTTTGGCCTCCCAGGGAGCAGGGCAGGAAGCGGTTCAGGTGGGGGCAGGGGGGGGTGACCTCGGGGTGAGGCAAGGTTACAGCGCTGGGGCCAGGAAAAGGGGAGGAGGGGGGAGCTGGGGCCTGCCGGGAACCTGCAGGGGGTGAACAGTTTTGGATTGTTGATTTGGACTTTTGAGTCCTTTCAATGTGCTACTTAGGAGGGAGGGGGAAAAGTGCCTTATTCTCAAACATAAAATCGCTGCGCAGGCTCTCAGGCTGGCAGAACGTCCACATGTGTCTTTGGCACCCATGAGGTTGGCAATGTTGTGCCAGGCTGATCATGATTGGCAGGCCAGATTTCCAGATGCAGGTGCTTTGACATCTGGCCTTATGCCAACCCCCTTCCAAGACCGGGGGGGGGGTGACGGGTTGAGCAAGGACACACAACAAGAGGGAATGCCAAGCTGGGCCTGACCTGGGCCTGGGCAGTCCCCTCCCCTCCCCGGGGCTCGCAGTCTCCTCGCAGGGAGGGCCTGGCCTGTGGAGAATGGGTGTAGTCAGGCTGAAACGCATGGGGCTGAGCAAGTGTCTTAGCCGTCTGAACCCGTCTCCCAGTGTGAGGAATGCCACCCGGGGTGGGAGCGAGCGAGCGAGGCCCTGTGTGCCAGGGCTTCTCCCTGGCAAACCCAAGCAGGCCCGCACTGGGCTTCCCTCCCCCACGGGGTGGAAAGTCTGAGTGAAGCTCCGCTGTCCGCCCAGCTGCGTTCGGCAGGGCTGGACGGTGACCTGGTGGGGGGCAGATCTTCCCCACCCTGTGGGTCCCTCGGGCCCACGCTGCCAGCTGGCTCTCCACCCACTCCCCCCCCCCCCAGGGGCCAGTGGAAAAAGCCGCGGTTAAAGCTCTGCCTCCGCTGGCTGTGGGCCTCCAGGCCGGTTACTCCTCCTCTCTGTGCCTCCCTCCCGTGCCCCCTCCAGGCTGGGATGAGGAGAGCCTGTCAGAGCTGGTGGCTGAGCTTTGTCAGATGGGGAAACGGAGTCCAGGGAAGCAAAGACACTTGCCCAAGTCTGCCTGACGGGACGTTGAAGCAAAAAGAGAGGGATGGGCTGAGAGGAAAGACGGGAGAGACGCAGTCAGGTGGGGTTGAGGAGAGAGACAGACAGACAGAGGGGCAGAGGCAGGAAGACAAAGAGGCCCACTTGCAGGCGGTTGTGGAGGGAGAGCCCCCCACAGGCCTGGTTAGGGGCAGACTTGGGGGTTCCTGCACTGGGGTCTCGCTCCAGGACCCCAGGAGGGGCTGGATGTGAGGCTGGCTCTCTGAAGAGAGCGTGGAGCGAAAACCAAGCCGCCAGGGAGGCCCAATCCAGCAGGACAACCTCCGTCCGTCCGGAGGAAGAACGGGAGCAGGGCAGCGGCAGAGGGGTGAAGTGAGGACACCGCCGGGGCAGGGCCCAGGGCGCGCGCGCCAGAACTGCAGCGCGGAGGCAGGGTCTCTGCCCCTCGCTGTGAAGTGGAGCCGCTGCGGGATGGGCGGGGGGGGGGGCGCTCAGAAGGGGACAGACAGACACACACAGGGACAGAGCTGGGGAGGAGAGGCCCAGCCAGCAGGCTGGGGGCAGGGAGGCCAGGCTGTCTGGCTCAGCAGGGACAACCCCCCCCCCCCCCCCCCCCCCCCGCCTCCAATCCCAGGCTGCCACGGGGCTTTCGTTGCCTTGGCAACTGTAAGCATCAGCCTGGAGGATGGGGTTGGCCACCCCACTCTCCCTCTGCCTCCCCCCACCTTGGGGCCTCTCCCCCCTCGTTCCCCCTCCCCCAGAGCTAAGGGTATTTTTAGCTGGGGCTCCTTGGCTTGGATTTGGGAGTTGAGGGGCTGGGGAGGGTGGGTTGAGGGGCTGTGGGGGGGAGGGGCTGGGCTTGCATGCCTGCAGAGGATGGAGGGGCCATGTGAGGCCCTCCACCCCCATCTCCCACCTTCCTGCTGGGTGCAGGAAGGGCTAGAATAGCAGGGGGAGGGCAAGGGAAATGGGGGCGCAGGCTAGTGAGAAGAGGATGTGCAATGATGAGGACACCCTCTCCTTCTCCCCACAGCTCAGACACACTCCGTCTCAGCCCCCACTGTTTCTACAAGTGAGCCTCTACTCCTGTGTGGTCTCTGGAACCTTCTGAGCTCATCCAGACCCCCTGTCTAGTGCTCTGTCCGGCAGGGCGGAGGCTACGTCCTCCTAGCTGCCTGGCAGACGCACTGGCAGTTCCCTCCACCCGCGACGGCCTTTCTGTGCACCTCACCTCCTCTCACCCGCGCCCCGCGGCCCCCACCGCCAGCCTGCCCCTCCCTGCACAGATAGACTCTGTCATGGCTGTGTGACTATCTTCCTGTCTGTCTCTCCATCTGTCCATCTGTGGGTCTGCTCACACAGAACCACAGCACACACCTGGAGACTCAGCACGGCGCAGAAAAGCAGAGGAATTCCCAGCCTGCCCTGGAAGCCTGCCCTCAAACTCTCTCAGCAGAAAAAATGCCTCACACATTGCACCCCGGGATTTCTAAACTCCGTATGACCTGGGGTACCTTCCTCAGTGAAATCCTGTTGAAAAGAGTGAAAGCCCTGCAGAAAAGAGCCATCTCCCCACCCCCCAAGAGAGCTGTGGGTAAGGCAGGAGACAGGACATGTATGACCTCCCTTCCCCAAACCCCATCCCAAGGCACCCCATGTGTCCCACCTGGAACCCAGTTTGAGAACCATCCTAATAAGGCAGAGGGCCACTGATCACAGGACCAAGCAGATGCCAGACGCGACCCACACAGGCCTCCAGGTCCACACTTGGCAGCCCAGCTCTGGGATCCTGCAGGGTGGGTGCTGCCGGAGGGTTCCCCACCTCCAGCCTCACGGGCACGATGGGTCCCCAGAGGGGTCATGTAGGGAGGAAGCATGAGGAATCTGGGGCTCTTGGTGGTACCTGCAGGACCCTGTCACCTGGGAGTGCCCTTGTCTCCTTGTTTTTAACTGGGGGTGATGATGGGTTTTTGTTGTTCTGGTGTGTGTGTGTGTGTGTGTGTGTGTGTGTATGCTAGTCCAGGGACTTGAACTTGGGGCCTGGGCACTGTCTCTCAGCTTTTACGCTAAGGCCAGTGTTCTACCCCTTTGGGCCACAACACCACTTCTGCTTTTCTGGTGGTTCCTTGTAGATAGAGTCTTTCCTGCCTGGGCTGGCTTCGAACTGGGATCCTCAGATCTCAGCCTCCTGAGAACCTAGGATTGCAAGCGTGAGCCACGCACCATCACCCGGCTTGTTTTGGTGCATGTATGTGTGTGTGTGCTACTCCCGGGACTTGAACTCGGGGCCTGGGCGCTGTCCCTGAGCTTTTTTGCTCAAGGCTGGCTCTCCACCACTTGAGCCACAGCTCCACTTCGGGAAGATTCTGGACTTTTCCTGCCCGGACTGGCCTGGCACGGCGACCCTCGGGGGCAGCAGGGATGGG